TGTAATATACCTATAAACATTTAAACCTATAGAAGGGTATGAGTCTACCTATTGTGTTTTCTTTAAGTACTTTATATTTTTTCTTATGTTTAAAACTTTAATCTATCAGGATGTTTTTATTTGATCTGAATGATCCAGTTTTTCCTCTTCTGATGTGACACAACTTAAACTAAATTTTTGTATCTATTTGGATTTGTTTTAGATTTTGAGTTCCATCACTGTCTGTTGTTTTATCTTTACCACACTGCAGTATATTGCTGCATCCCTATATTTAAGACTGTGTACTATCTGACAGAATTCTATGCATATGTACTTAGAGAATAAGTATTCTGGGATTTTAGGGGGGAGAACTAGCCATAGATGTACTTGAGCTGGAAGAGTAGGACCACACTGAGGCTTGTGTTAGGTTTTTTTGCTCTGATTTATAGGTACTGTATACCTCCCTCCTCAGCTAAGTTCATTTAAAGTCAACAAATCTGTTTGTGAACACAGCTGTATTAGTCTGTTTTCTGTTGCTGATAACAGAATACCTAAAACTGAATAATTTATATAAAAACAAAATTTATTTCTTACAGTTTTGTAGGCTGAGAAGTCCAAGGTCCAGGGAACACATCTGGTGAGGGCCGCCTTCTTCATGTGGACTCTGTACAAAGTCCCGTAGTCACACAGGCAATCACACCACAGGGGCTGGGCAAGAAGGCTTGTTAACATGCTCACTTGTTCTCCTTATAAAGCCACCAGTGCACATCCACAATAACCCATTAAACCATTACCTATTACTCCATGAACATGTTGATCCGTTCATGAGAGCATAGTCCTCACAATCCAATCACCACTAAAAGGCCCAACCTCTCAACTGCCACATTGGGGATCAAGCTTCGAACATAAACTTTGGAGGGGACAAATATTCAATCCGTAGCATTCTGCCCCAGCCCCCCAAAGCATATGTCCTCACATACAGATACATCTGTTCCATCCCATAGCCCTCATATCTTAACTTGTTCCTGCACCAACTCAACCCATCTGCAAAATCAAAACAAGTTATCTACTTCCAAGATATATTGGTGGGATGAGCATAGAGTACATTTTCCATTCCAAAATGGAGCAACAGAGAAGAAGAAAGTAGTAACTGGCCCACAGCATGTCTGAAATCCAGTAGGGCAGGCATTAAATCTTAAAACTGGAGAATCCCTTTTGACCTCGTGTTCATCATTCTCTGCACATTGGTGCAGGGGTTGGGCTCTCAAGTGCTTCGGAAGTTTGGCTCCTATGGCTTTCCTGGGTTTAGCCTATGCTTCAGCTCTCCTAGGCTGGCATTCCACACTGGTAGCTCTACAATTCTGGGGTTTGGTAGTGGACCCACTCCCATGGTGCCACTAGGCAAGGCCCTAGTGGGAGTTCTGTGCTGCAACTCTGACCCCACATTCCTACTCAGCATTGTTCTAGTGGGGGCTTTCTCCAGTTACTCTGTCTCTGCAACAAATCTCTGGCTGGGCCCCCAAGCTTTTTCATATATCCATTGAAATCTGGGTGGAAGCTGCCATGTTTCCACAGCTCTGGCATTCTGTGAGCCTTCATACTTAACACCACATGGATGCTGCCAAGGCTTCTGGCTTGTATCTTCCGAAACTGCAGGTCTAGCAGCACCTGGGGCCAATTTAGCCATTGCAGCCAGGGTATGGGGAGCAACAGCCTGAGGGTGGCCCTGAGCAGTGAGCCTGTGGAGTGTGCCCTGTGCCTGTTCCCTGAAACCATTCTGCCTTCCTAGGTCTCTTGGCCTGTAATGGGAGGTGGAGGTAGCCTTGAAGATCTCCAAATGCCTTCAAGGTCTTCCATTCTCTTGATGGTCCATTCCCTATGTACTAAACTCCTTATCAGATGGTTGCTGGGCTACATCCTCAGTTTCTTCTGAACATGCTTTTTCACTTTTATGTGGCCAGGCTGAGAGTTTTCTAATTTCCTTGCTCTCTGCATTCCTTTTAATTATAAATTCTATCTTTAAGTCATCTCTTTGTTCTCATTTCACTGTATGCGGTTCAAAGTAGGTATGCATTAGCCTAAATGCTTTGCTCCTTAGATATTTCTTCTGCCAAATTGTTCATCATTTTTAAGTTTTGCATTTCATAAAGCCCGTGGGTATGTACACAATCCAGCCACATTCTTTGCCAGTTCATAACAATGGTGATGACCTTTCCTCCGCTTTCCACTAAGTTTCTTTTCATTTATGTCTGAGTCCTCCTCAGAATGGTCTTTACAGTTCATATTTCTGTCAGTATTCTGGTTACCACCTGTTTTAGTCCATTTTGTGTTGCTATAACAGAAATACCTGAGACTGGGTAATTTATAAAGAACAGAGTTTTATTTGGCTTATGATCCTGGGACAGCTGCATCTGGCATGGGCCTCAGGCTGCTTCTACTCATGTTGGAAAGTAACAGGCAGCTGGCAGATACAAGCAGATCACGTGGCGAGCAGAAGCAAGAGAGAGAGGGAAGGTGCCAGGGTCTTTTTAAGCAACGAGCTCTTGCAGGAACTAATAGAGGGAGAACTCACTCAATCCCCCCTCCCCCAGGGAGAGCATTAATCCATTCATGAGGGATCCGCCCCCATGACTCAATCAGTTTCCAACACTGCCACACTGGAAATCAAATTTCCACATGAGTTTTGGAGGGGACAGCACATCCAAACTCCATCACCACCATTTAACCAATCTTTAAGAAGTTCCATACTTTCCCTGGTCATCTTCTGAGCTCTCACCAGAATTGCCCTTAATACTCTATTTTCAGCAATCTAGGCTTTTTCTAGCCTTCTCTACATTCTTCCAGTCGCTCTCCATTAGCCAATTCCAGAGCTGCTTCCATCTTTTCTGTTATCCGATATAAGCAACACCCCAGTTCTCCGTACCAATTTTCTGTATTAGTCCCATTTTCTGTTGCTTATAACTGAATAACTAAAACTGGGTAATTTATAAGAAAATTTATTTCTGGCTCAAGCCATTAGCCATGTGACATCCCAATGCTCTGTGAAGAGTCATCACCCTCACCAGATGTGTTCCCTGAATTTAGGACTTCCCAGCCTCTGAAACCATTCTTACCGAAAGAACTGGAAGACGAAGAAAATCGAACCAAGATGGAAGGACTGAGCTGAAGGACGAAAAGAGCAAAGTAATCAGTAAACATAAGTTGAATGGAGGAGTAGTGGAGGAACCGGCGGCAGTGGCAGCAGCGGAGAAGCCGGTGGCAGCGGCAGGGGTGGCAGCGGCAGCGGTGGAAGCGGCGCCAGCAGTAATGGCGACAGCAGCGGTGGAAGTGGCGGCAGCGGCAGCAGC